GGGCAGTATTGAAATATTAATTAGTTTAGCCAAACTGCTGAAACCAAAGCTCCAGAATACAATAGCTCAACACTGAGAAAGTTCAAAATGGGTTACAGACCACCAGGGGTGCTCTGTGCTTGGTTCCATGCATCCTTACAAAGAACCTGGGCTGATGACAGCTTTGAAATCTTCAACATGTGGCTTTCAAGGATACCGGGGTAACACCATCTCACTTTTCATCAGAAAAGTGAGAGTATGAAGGAACAGTTGTTAGAGGTTTTCATACATCAGGCTTGGGAGTGGTGCACATCACATCTGGGCACATTCCATGGCCATACTTAACTACAATGGAGCCTGGGAAATGTATCTGGTTGATTTCCTAGGAGGAAGGGAAGAAGAGATTTTGGTGAAAAGCTAAGGTCTCTGCCACAAAAGTCATTCAACAAGCAGGTCTTCTTTCATAGCCTTTGTGAATTTGGGGGCCTCAGAAGTCTTACTAAAACAAGGGAGCAGTTTAGCGGAGCAGCAGTTAGATTTTAAGGATCTGGAGTCAGGCGGCACTAGGCTAGGTGTCCGTGGCGGGGTTTGTCCCAACCTCTTGGGACCACAGCTCAACCAGGGAATAAGTTCTCTCAGAGTTTCAACATCTTGCAGTCCTCTATGGACTGTCATTGCAGCTGCCAAAGCTACAGCACCTTAGGGGCTGGGACTGAGCACAAAGGAAAGAAAAAGAAAGTGGGGGATTTCCCCCCACCCTCTCTGAATATAGGGAAACCTTTTTACTTCTCTTCAAGCCCAAATAAGAGGACTTCTCCTGGAGCTCTCTCTGTTGGTACTTATGTCCATGTCCACGTTCTATGCTGTCCTGAGCCCAAGCCAGGGGATGCCGAGGAAAAGACACAGGGAACTAACAGCCTATTTGATCACACTTCATATTCTCATCTGCTTCCCAATTCACCTGCCCCTCTTTACTTTCCGAACTCCCCCCTGCATGCTAAGTTCAGGACTACATTTCATAGGAGACACTGGATGAAGGCTGTTTACTCCACCTTACCCTGAACAGAACCCTGACTTATTAATTTTATACTTGCTCAAATTTTCACTCAAGTATAAAAAAAGACAACAACAAAAGTTTCCATAAGCATTCTTGATGTCAACGATGAAATAATATTGTGTAACTGACAGCAGTTGGGAGAGAAAGGGGAAAGGGGAGGAAGTTTAAATGTGCTGACTTCCTCATCTTTCATAGCTTGGGTTAAAAAGATACTTTAGGTGGCAAAAATTCAGGAAGAATCTAGAGAAAAGCTAATAATGTTGGTTGCCTAAGGGGAACGAAGTGATTGGGGAGCAGGGTGTGGGGGGACTTTTACTGAACACATTTTAAATGAAGAGTTTTCAGCCATGTGAATATATTACATTAAAAAAATGAAAGTGGGAAAATAGTGGTAGATGCTTGCTCATTAAGAGTCACAAGTCCACTTTGCTTGTTCTTTAGGAGAAATATTCTTTAGAAGGTTGACATTCCCATATAGTTTTTAAAATCGATTAATATTTAAATGAAACAATAAAAGCTTGCATTTATTGTGTATTTATAATCCCAGACTTCATTCTAAATATATAATATATAAATGAATAATATATATTAAACATACATATTTCTCATTTTACAGATGAGGAAACTGAAGATCAGTGAGGTTAAGTAACTTGCCTAACGTTCATATCTGGCAAAGCAGCCAAAGTAGGATTAAAACCACGTAGTTTAGTGGTAGATGTACAGGGTGAAAAAATATATAATCTACTATAATCTGATGGGAAGAGGAGGAAGAAAAGGTGTGAAGACAGAGAGATGTGTAGTTTTAGGAATGCTTAGAGTGGGTCAATAGCTACACTCTGTTTAGAGGATGAAGTTTATACCGGGTATGGTGATAGAGATTACAATACAAAAAAAATGCAGAAGCAACCCTTTCAAATTATAAGGGCCAAGGGCTGGCTGAGTGGCGTGTTGGTTAAGAGCTGGCTTGGGATACCAGCTCTGAGCAGCAGGGCCCTGGTTCAGATCCCGCCTGAGGGCCAGTGACACTGCCCCCTACAGCTAAGATGGTGAACAACAGCTCGACGTGGAGCTGGGCTACCGTGAGTTGCCAGTGACGGCATAGGCTGCAGCCCCTGCTGCAGTGGGCTGCCATAAGTTACCATGTGTGTCTGGCAGCCAGCATGAGTGGCTGGCAGCCGGTGTGAGCTGCCAAGAGCCGCCATGAGTGGCCTCCAGAGACCGGCGACCCATCTGCCTCACCTGGGAAGAGTGCAATGATAATACTAACATGGGCCAGTGAAGCAACGTCCTCCACAACTAGACTGAAGAACAAAAGGACAGCAACTTGTCTCCTTCCCCGATCCCCCAACCCTGTTCTCCTCTCCCAATTCCCCAATAAAATCTTTAAAAAAAATATATATATATATATATATATATATATATATATATATATATATATATATATATATATATATATATATGGGCCAAGCAAAGGCAACAAAAACCACACCAATGAAATACCTTTTAAAAAGAAGAAATAAAAATAGAAAGCAATATAAATATGATATAACTAATACTGCACACCTATTACAATATACCGACAAGTAGAAATAGTTTAAATTCTTCTATTGAGATAAGAATCTCACATTGTATCACAAAGTAAAACTCAACAGAGAATCCCTAAAACAAAGTGATTCGGAAAGGTTAAAAAAGAATTGACAAAGATACATTTGGCAAATACAAACAAAGAGAAAGTTGATATATCTTCTTAAGTCATGACCTTAACATTAGGCAAGATTCAATTAAATTTTAAAAGCATTCTATAATTAAAAAAGTAAAATCATAATTAAAAATGTAACATACTCTTGAATATCTGTGTACCAAAAATATAGACTCAAAACTCATAAAGCCCAAACTACAAAAAGAGAAATAAACAGAAATATGTCATTTGTGGGAGTCTGACCTCACTCAGCTTGTGTTAAATGGCATTATTTATTCAAATTATTTGTTGTTTCCACCCACCCACCTTTGCCATCTTTCCCTGTAGGCAGAAGGTACTTCTTTATCCTGTTTACTTTGGGCTTGACCATTTCTGCTTTGACCAAAGAAATGTGAATCTACATGACACAGACTACATCTGGGCATGAACTTCCAATACACCTGCATGGTTTGGCCCTGCCTCTCTTACTCCTGCCAGGGCAGGGATCAGGGTGAGGTGAGGGAGGCAGGGTCACACAAGTGCAGGGACAGATTCTGTTTTTCTTTTAAAATTTTGATATTTTGTTTATCTTGGATTTTTGTATTAATTTTGACTTTTAAAAATATTGAATTAGAATATTATTTTTCTTGATCACAGGGTGTTTTGGAGTCCTCTTAAATTTTGCATGCAAGGCAAGTCCCCCATTTGTGGCCCTGGTTGCTGCCCTATACACGAGAACAGCATGGCTACTCCTTCAGCCCCGCATCTGAGATAAGAAGACCCGTGGAGTTGGACGGAGCAGAACGAAGCAGATCCCAGGTGAACAGCAACCCATCTGCCGTTCTCAGGCAACATGAGCAGGAAATAAGATTTATTATTTAAATCAATGAGATTTTAAGTTTCTTTGTTACGCAGCACAGGCTATTGAAACCTATGGCAGATCTAGTGAACAAAATTAAGTAAGATTATAGACCTTTAGTAACATAATAAATATGGTAGATCTTATTCATATATACCACACCATTCCCTAAAAACAGAGAATATACCTTTTTGTGTGTACTCAACCAAAATTAACCATATACTGGGCCAGAAAGAAACTATCAGTAAATCCCCCAAGGTGAAAATAGTATAGATAAAATTCTTTGACTCCACTATAATTAAACTACGAACAGCTAACAAATATACAACCTCCTCCCTCTGAAAGCTGAAAATGTAAAAATAAACTCTCTTTTAAATAACTTCACAGTAGAAATAAAAACTAAAATGGCAACATTTCTAGAAAATAACAGAAAATGTTAACAAAACACTATGTATCAAAAGCTGCGGGATACAATTAAAGCAGTGCTCCATGCAAATTCTAACTTGAATACTCATACAGTCCCCAACTTACGATGGCTCAACTTAGGCCATTTCGACCTTATGATGGTGCAAAAGCAAACTGCATTCAGTAGAAACCACACTTTGAATTTTGACCTTTTCGCTGGCTAGCGATATGCTGCCATATGATACTCTCTCATCATGCGACAGTGAGCCCAGCTGCCAATCAGCCACATGACCCTGAAGGTAAACGAATACAGTATATTCACAGTGTTTGATGATTTTGTCCAATTGTAGGCTAATGTGTGTTTTGAGCACATTTAAGGTAGGTTAGGCTAAGCTATGATGTTCGATAGGTTAGGTGTATTAAATGCACTTTCAATTTATATTTACAACTAATGATGGGTTTATCAGAAGTTAACCCCATTGTAAGTTGAAGAGAATCTGTATTAAGAAACAAGAAAAAATAAAAATAAATGAATCAAGCAACTAACATAGAATTTACAGAAAATAACAAAAACAATCCAAAGGAAAGCAGAAGAAACTGATAATGTAAATGGAACAAAAAGTGAATTAATATATAGAATATATGATAAATATATCTAAGACGCCCAGAACAGAGCGCCCGGCGCTCCCGGGGCAAGAGGCTCCAGTTCTCCCAGGGCGCGCGCCCGGGATCTGGGGGCGGGGAGTCGTGGGTGGTTCCCTTGGAGCACCCAATCAGCAGCGAGACCTGGCGGTGGCGCTAGTAACGTAGGCCGCGCTTCCCTCCGCCCCTCTGCGGGCCGACTCTCGGCGGCGTCAGCCTCGCGAGCTCCGCGCGGGGGGAGGCAGGAGGGCTTTGGGACCGGCCGGCTGTCGGAGGGCGGCGGGTCGCGGGAAGGGGGAGAGTGAGCATGCGCAGCGGCTCCGGGGAGGGAGGGGGAGGAAGGGACCCGTGCGCGCGCGCACGAGGGGCCCGCCGGCGGCCGCGGGTGGAGGGGGCGGTTCCTCGAGTGTCAGCAGCCGGAGGGTGGGCAGGCTGGCGGCAGGTGCCGCCGAGGCCGCTGCCGCAGCCTCCTGCGAGTCCCGGGTCTCCTCGTCGTCCGACGGTGATGAGCTGGACTCCCTCGGGGGCTGCACCTGCCGGCTGCCCATCACCCGGAGCCTCCCGGCGTGACCTCGGCCTCCTCGTGCCCGATCCTCGCGGCGTGGTTGTGCCCCTGAGAGGCAGGGGCAGCGGCCTCCTCCGCCCCGAGTCCTAGCTCGGGGGCAGCACGGGGAGAGCGCCTGGCCCCCTCCCCTCCCCCGTCCGCTGTCCTCAATGTCTCCCCGGCGGGGAGGGGGCTGCCTGGGAGACGCGCTGAGCGGCCCCCCCCGGAGGCCCGTCGGCCGCAGCAGCAGCGCTCAGCCCGGCGCCCCGCAGCCTTGCCCGGCGGCGGCGGCCTGGAGGAGCCTCGCAGCCGCCGCCGCCCCCGGAGCCTCGCAGCCGCCGCCGCCACCCGGCGCCCGAGGAGAGGGCGGCGGGCGCCCCCCGGGGAAGATGAAGGCGGAGGGCGGCGATCACTCCATGATCAACCTGTCGGTGCAGCAGGTCCTGAGCCTCTGGGCCCACGGGACGGTGCTGAGGAGCCTCACGGGTAATTGATGCGCCCGGGCTGGGGACGGGGATGCGGTGCCGCCCTTTGCCTCCTTTCTCCCTCCGGAGGAGAGGAAGCGCTCCTCGCTGCCCCACCTTCGTGCGCGCCCCCTCGGGAGTTCGCGGTCCCGGGTCATGGCGAGGAAGGTGTTAATTAGATCCACTCCGCGAGGGTTCTGGGGTGCAGACGCCCGCCACACGTCCCCCCGGCGCTCTGAGCCTTCTGAATCGCGAGGTGTGGGGTGGGTGGGTAAGAGTGCACCACCCCCGCCCTCTGCCCTGCGCTGGGAAGGGCTCCCGACGGCCCTGCCTTCTGTAGTACGCGTCGAATGGCATTGGTGCTGACTTGAGCAGTTAGCTTTTATTTACCCATCTCTTCCCCCACGCGTGCACATACACGTAGACATTCACACACACCCTGTTTTTTTGCTGTTTAGATCTTTTTTATGTTTAGCTCTTTTTTCTTTCTGGCAAATCTCAAACTGAATGCAGGACTTAAATTTCTTGCTCACAGTGATCAGTTTGCTTCCGCTGTTCTTTTGCAAATATAGATGACAAATTAAGGGGCTGGGCCAAGGTCTCGTGCCTTATAAGCATTTTGTTTCCTTTTGTCTCTCTCTGGCCTCAAGCTGCTGCTTCTGTGACATTTGATAATTTTGTGTATTTCCTTACATTCGTCAAGGTGCTCAGGAGGGAATTGGACTTAACTACATTATAATTAACATCAATTTCTAGTTGTAAAAGTGAGCAATAATACTCATGTGTTTATCGAATTTGTAGGTTTGCTTTGTGAAGAAACTTATGGTTTTGTTAATGTGGAAATGCTTATTTATATATTATACTCTTGAGTTCGGAATTTAAAAAATATCCTCTAAAGATAAGTGTTCATAAGAAAGAGATTTGTTTACAATTTGGTAACTCCTCAGTGCTTACTCCTTAGAGTTAAAAACTTAAAAACATATGCAGGGTTTATTTCTTGAAAATGTATAAGGCAGCTAATTTTGATAGAACATTAGTATTTCAAAATGCATTATGTCAAAGTGATTAGAAATAGGAAGACTATATTACAAATATAACCTGTCTTGACAAGATAAATACACATATTTGTGTGTGTATTATTTATATATATATATGTATATATATATATATAGTGTGTGTGTATATATATATATATATGATATCAATATATTTTAAAATCTGGCATTATATGGAATTCAGCTATTCATAGAGAATTTTTTTTTAATTATATACCAAAAGGATGACTTTAAAGATACTGGTTTCCTTGAATGCAGAAACTATAAAATTAATGTAGATTCTAGATTGATTCATGGTGTCTTCACTTTTAATACGTGGTTGGTTAACTTGGAGCAAATTGACCTTGTATGATGTTTTTACTTCAAGAACATGTTCTTAGTTCGGAAAAACTACATTGATATAAAGACCATTTCATGATTCAATTGAATTTTGAGATAGACTGCTTTATTTTACTTACGGCTTTGCTTGTATTTGTCCACTTTTAATATTTCAAATGTATCAATTATGTTTATTTGAATGAAATGAAAATAAGGACTTAAGAATATGTGTATATATTTATATGTTAACACATGGCTTAGTTCATCAGTGGATATTTAGAAAAAATAAGCTTTGGAGACAGTAAATGTAAATATAACTTACCTCTCTTGGCCAAATTCAACAATATTTCAAAATATTTAAGATTCTAATCATTACATAGTAGCTTCAAGTTCCACAAGTCAACCATTAGGCTAATAATAGTTTCAACCCAGGGTTAGCTCTAATTACCTCGTGATACAGTCTTCATAATCGTTAGTTGTTCATCAGACTTTACCATTTCGTAAAAGACTTGCAGAACATCTGAAACTAGGACCGACATGGGACTGAGGAAAAATTGGAACCTCTTCTAAGAAATAACTAGAGTGTGAGTGTGCAAAATTCTGTTTGTCAGGGTAAAAATGGAGAAAGAAATAGATCAGAAATATGTTTCACCAGCAGGTGAGTGTCCCACATGTTAGGAACCACATCATATCACAAAAGTGGACTTTGGAGTGGTAACATTCTGATGTGGCTCATTGTGGTCTTCTGCATGCTGGTGACCTTGGTGATCCCCTATGTAGCTTAATCAGTCAAGAGGTGCTACCTACAGTGCCATTTAGAACTTAGTCTATTGTAAAGAAATACAACTCCTAGAACAAGACAGCTCTCATTTTACTGAATTCCTGCAGCATCAAGCACTTTTCATATATTATTTCTAATCTAGAATAATCCCAAAGTAGGTTTTCAAAGAATCTCACAGAGGTAAATTAAGTTGTCCCCAAATCATATAGCTAGTAAATGGCTGAGCTAGGCTTAAAACCCGTCTTTGCCTGCAAGACTACTTTCCCCTTTTCTGGGATGCTTTAAGCTCCTTCCTCTTCAGACAGAATGAATTACGTGCTTCATCCTACTACTTCTGCTCCTTGTACATGCTTTTAAAATTATATTTTTCAACTACATTGTAATATTTCCTAGACTGAGGTTTTTGAGGGTGGGATCACTATCTCAATCACTGAATTCTGGAACCCTAGTGTTAATAGTACCTGGCACATAGTAAATGCTCAATACATGTTTCTGGAATTGAGTTTTTCAAATAATACTTAACAGTTGCATGATGTAAACATTCTAGTTGTGTTATTTTTTAGCTACAGCTGTTGGAGTGAATACGTTGTTAACTAGGGAATGGGGTGTTAAGTAACTTTTGTAGATAATTGTCACACCTTGAAAACACAAATATTTATTGAATGCACTTCCTGTACTAGTTAACCATACTTTCATGTATTTTATTTAATTTTTTCAACAATCTTGAGAGAGATTGCTTACCCTTATATTACACATTTAGATATTGAAGCAGAGTAACTCACTTAAATCTGATAGCTAATAAGTGAGAAATTATTACCTTTTTACAAATTATAACATATTAAGTCAGAAGGCATTTTTGTCATCATAATAAAGTTGAAAGTGAAGCACGTTATACACAGGAGCATAGTGTAGAACCAGACTGATTTTGATGTAAGAAATGACTGAAGGCTTTGCAGAAATCTGGTTAATAGGAATTCTGGTTAATTAAAACCAATAAAGAGGGAATGTACTCTCATCTTTATTTTTTTCTTATACAGACTAACAAGTGTAATTTATTCTTCTCTTTGTATCTTATCCCATAGGTGAAGCAGGAAAATTTTTATATTGATCTTTTTATCTTAGAGACCGACCTTTAAAAAGTAGTCTTGTGTATGTATTACTTTGATATAAATAAATGTTTAAAAATTATAATAATGAGAACTTAATATTTTAGAGCTAGAAGTTATGTTTTTCAACTACTTCATGTTAGAAATACCAAATATCACATCACCGAAATGACATTGCAGGGATCAAACAGTTATTTAATGATAGAGGAAGGACTGGAACTGACCTTCCCTGACCCCTAGTTCTGTGCCTTTTTCTTTTATTCCACATAGCTTTTTAGCTCAGGCAGGTCTGATAGATAATAAATCTTAATGTAATTAAGAAAAGCCTGGTATTCCAGTGAGCCCAAAAATGTGTGAATGGAACTAATTTTTGTACAGCAAATCAAAGATATTGGAAAATGCAAGATCTTATTGAATAATAATGCTTTCTAAAATTTCAATTTGACATTGCCTATGTAAAAGATAGTGATCCATATTTATTACATATCCATTTTTAGAAGTCCTACCAAGTTCAGTCTGCTATTTATTTTTTCTCCCTCCTGGAAGACACTAGGATGGGGACTCCATAGAGAGTAGATTAATATCAGAAGACCCCATCTCTGTCACTTAACCATTGCCAAAGTTCTCTTCTGTCCATCACTTCCCAAAGTGTGTGATTCACAGGATTCCTAAATTGTTTGTTAGCTGTGTATTGGTTGTGTGCTTCTTCAGCTTACTAAAGTAGGGAGTTAAATGGCTTCCTTTCTTTCTCAAAGTTTCTCTGAATTGTTCGACATATCCGGGCCTCCCAATCTAAAATTAGAGTCAGTATTTATATAGTCTTTCAGTTTTATGGGGAACTTGAGTTTAAAAAAAAAAAAAGTGATGTACAATGAAAAGTATTCTTTTGCTTTACCTTAATTTTCAACTACTTTGGCCCCCAACTTTGTGTTCTGACCCAAATTTGGTTGCTGAGGGTTTAGAGAAAAATTTTTTACACAGATATAGGCAGGATCCCAAAACCCCTGGATAAACACTGATCCAGGTTGGTGTTGGGAAAGGGATAATTGGTCCCTGGGAAAACAGGCAAAGCCTGGCTTTTGGCTTGTCTCCTCCTTATGTCAGCAGAGAATGTGGGGGCAGGTGCTCCCTTCTTTTTATTGGTAATAGGCATTGGGACACTGCGAATTCACACTGAAATGAAGGTCAGCCGTGCGTGCATGCGCGCGCGCGCGCGCGCGCGCGTGTGTGTGTGTGTGTGTGTGTGTGTGTGTGTGTAAAATATATATGTGCTTATATATTTTTACAGTATACATATACACACTATTATAGCTTCATTTTTGTGTTTATAATTACTAAGCCACTTTAGTGTTAATTTTGTCATCAAAAAAGAGAAAGGAGAAAAAAATTGGTAACCGCTGTATGCATTTAGAATTGTTCACACCTCCAGCTGGTATAGCCAGCACCTTCCTTCTAGTGCTCCCAAACAAGTTTGCTTTCTAGGTGTTACTTTGTATCCTAGTTTCCCATTAGGTTAAATTCCTCTTCCTAAATGCTCTAGTATAGAAGGTGAGTTGATGTAGATAGTTATTTCATATATCACTTATAGGTATTTATGTTTTGTAAATAGAGCCTTAAAGACAATGTGTTACTTTTCAGTGTTTGTGCTGGACCCCCAAATTTACTATTTCTGAAATTCTTGTGAAAAACTCTTGTATTCTTTTGTGGTACAGAGCCAATTAATAAGGGCTGGTATGATTTGTACTTTATAGGAGTTTGCTTT